GCTGCAGCTGCAGCTTCTCCTCCTGCAGTTGAGCGCGGGACTCCACCAGCTTCTGCACCACCGGGAGACGATGGGGCCCCCCCGGGAAGCTGCTCCGCTCCCCCCCAAAGACTCTTCCCCCTGCCACAAAAGAGGGAATTGAGCAGAGCGGCAGCCAGCCTGGTCAGCAGCCTCAGAGCCAGCAGTGAAATCAGGAAGGGCAGCAGGCAGAAAGTGGCCTTCAGTGCTGCAAGGGCCCCAGCAGAAGGTCCAGCAACGACAGCCCCCCCCCCCCCCCCCCCCCCCCCCGGGGGGGGCGGCCGCTCGGCCCGCGGGGGGGGGGGGGGGGAGGGGGGCCCCCCCCCCCCCCCCCGTGCCTGGAACAAATGGAGGGAACTGAAAATAAGATTACATTTACGTATTTGTTTGAGATGCTGTCAGTGGCCAATTCCAGCTTTTCTGACATTTTACATTCTCAAAATCAAACTGGGCTTTTCACCTCCCTTCCACCCCAGGAGCTTTCAGAGGGGGCAGTTTCCACCTGGCAGGAGCAGATGGCAATGGGCAGGGAGTCCTGGCCATACCTTCCAGGAGGAGACGGACTTTCCGTGGGAAGAAGCCAGAAGGAACCTTTGGCCAAAAGGTTTCCCATCAAAGACAGTCAAGTGGTACTTTTGGAGAACGTTCCCTTCCCTGAAATTCCTTTTCTTGTCTTCATCAGATCAATCCGTTTTTAAAAAAAAAAATTAAATCTCGAATTCAAAGTAGAACTTTGAATCTTATCCTTCGGCCATAATTTAGCAATTTCTGGATCAACATTCTGTTTGTCTTTCACCTCACAATCAACGTAGCTACTCCAATTTGTAAACACGAGTGTGTTGGAGAGAAACATGAATAGTTCAATCTGTTATCAAACGACAATTCATTTGAACAAGGACACGGGACTCTAATTAATCAAGAGTACAAAAATACAACTTTCCAAACACAGCACCGTAATCTGAGAGGGACGTAAAATAATGCAGAAGACCGAGAAAGGCAACGTCAGAAAGGCTTCCTCAAACTCCCCAACGGAATCCCTGCAGGGGGATGCACACAACAAGCACACAAGTGGAGGTAAGCCTTTGCATCTGCCCTCCTAGCCCCTAGCAATGTCCCCAAAAGTGTGTGTGTGTGAGATAGAGATAGAGAGAGAAAACACTAAAGCAGAATTCTGGACTTTAAGGCACAAAAGGCCCTAGAGTATCTTAGTGGGAATTTGAGATAAATAAGATGAGAACAGCCAACAAATATGAAAACCTCTCTGACCAACAGCCAAATGGGGAGCAAACCAGAAATCTTCTCCCAGGAGAGAGTCCAAGAGCTAAAACCAGTTGGCAGAGCAGGAAAGGCCACGACTCCTCCTTGCAACCCCAGGATTTAGCCTGGCTGTGCAGCCCAACCCTTTTTCTGTGGCTCACAATCATTTCCAGGGACTCCCTTGAAATGAAGGGGGGGGGGTGTCACCGTTTCCTCAGCCTCTTCAAACTGCAGGAAAAAGGGGCTTAAAGGGACCCTTCAAACAGCTCCAAATTTCTCCCTGGCTCTCTGAAGCGCCAAAGGCAGGATAAGGCCCCTGCCCCCGTGCTCTCTGCACTGCAAAAGGACTGGGCCCCTGGGCCTTGGAGGGAGACTGGGAGGGTGGGGGGAGGAACAGGGTCTCTTTCTGCAGGAAGATGCTGTGGTTGACTTTGAGCACCAAAGGGGCCTCTTGGCAAGACTTCCCTCTAAAGGTCCCAACCCGACAAAATGCCCCATCCGCCCCCCCCCCCCCGCCTTCTGTGCAGCCAGCAGGAAAGACAACTGGAACGACCTTAACATTTGCTGCGCAGAAGGGGTGGAAGGGACGCTGCTCTTCCAACAAAGTCCTCCCTTGCAAGTTGGGAGCGAGTTCCCAGAGAGCCCAGGAAAAGGTTCTTGGGAAGTCACTGATTGTCTGTCAAGCTTCCCACTGCAAGCCAGGTCAGTCCAGAGGAGGAGGAGGAGGAGGAGGGCGGGGTGCCTGGGAGTAGCCATCATTTTTGTCACTCTCCCCCAAATGCATTTGTTTAAGGTAGGTTTGAAATGTGAATGTATTTTAGATATTTACAATTATAGAATCAACATTACTTTTATGCTAAACACAATTCAATTTACCTTTAGCCTTCAACTGAGGCTAACAACCACCCGTCTTCCAAAGTCTACAGCTTGTGATACGATCACAGCCATATAAGCAGAAAACTGATAAGCAGCAAAATTCACGTGTCATTCATTGCTTCCCTACTACACGCTCCATGCAGCCGATGGACAGCAGAGCCCCAGCCCTCTTCCTGGCTCCCAACACAGCTGCAGCATCCAAAGAGAACTAGAAACCTCCTGAGCAGTTCACCAGATCAGGGACGGTGGGAACTCCTTCTGCTATCCAAGCAACGTGTAGACCCAAATGGCATTCTGGATTTCTACTCTTCCAATTCCTGGTCTAAAATAGCAATCAATGGCTCGCTGCTGACTAAAACTAACTCTTTCAGAAGCAAGTTCTCACTGCCGCGTTAAGAATGCAAAGAATGTAAATCCTGTCCTTCCCCATTCCTCACCACTTACTTGGGCACCTTGCTTCCAATTATCCATGTCCTCCTTATGTCACACCCAGATTGATTTTACTAGAAGGAAAAGAGCAGGGTGCTCACAACCGCACAGTGTGGCACGTGTCAAGCAGCAGGTGTTACCTGCTTGCTGAAAATCCAATTCCCACCCCCTCAGGCTTCCCTCCCCCCACCATTGTTGAGAAGAACCGTCCGAGTATTTCCCAAAAACCTTAATGCTGGGGAGGCTTCCAATTTCTCCTCTGCACTTCACTCCCTGGGGCAGCTGACCGGGGGGGCGGGGGGAACAAAATGAGCCCTCTGACAGCAGAACGGCAGGTGCATCTGCCACAGGCCCACAGCAAGCCCCCTGCACAGCAAGCCACGGAACTGCACAGAATCCCACAGGTGAGGTTTGCATCACAGGGAGCTTTAAAGTGCTGGAGGAAGACTGGCAGCCACCCTGGTTTTTGCTGCATGAGGACCCCCCCCCCAATGAATACCCAGATGAGGCAGAGGCTTCCAGCCTGGCCTTCCTCCTTTAAACCTCCTCCACCTGCCTCCTGGCAACCTCTCCCGCCAAGGAAAAATCACGCCAGGCCCAGCTGGTTGGAGCGGCTACGGCACTCACAGATCTCCGTTCCTGTTGCCAGAAGAAGCCGGGCTCTCTACGTCTCCCTGGCCCTCTGCTCACTGGCGCTGCTTCCTGCGGTGCTTCCCCATCCTTTCCAGAGCCTCCCATTCCCAGCCTGCTTTCAGAAGACGTCTCTGCACATCGAGGGCCTCCTTCAGTGGCTCACCTAGCTGCGAAGCCCCAGAGTGGGGGAAGAGAGGCTTGTTGCAGCCTGCAAGCCAGAACCAACTCGGGGCTGCCGCCTCCTCCCCCGATAGGCCTCGACAAGCTCAAGCCGGCTCCGAAGAGCAGAGCAAGAAGCAACCTGCAGACCTCCCTGCCTGGCTTCTCCCTGAGAAAAAAGCAAGTGAGCAAGAAGACCCCATCGATGCTGCCCTGACAGCCGAGACAGAGGAAACCAGGGCTGGGAGCAGCAGGGATTCTGCCAGAGGTGTGGGCAGGAATGTGGGGGGAAGGACCCTCTGGCTGGCATCTCTAGTAAGGAGCCAGAACGGTTGGCACTGCTTTCCCAGGGAACCCAGGGGAGGAGGATGGTGGGAAGCCAAAGATGATGCCTGCCTGCGGAGGATCCCCCTGCCACCCATCCAAAGGCTGCTTGCCTGCCTTCCGGCTGCCCTTCCAGCCCGTCTTCTCGGGCTCCACAGACTCCGGAGGGAGCTTAAGAAAACCATACTACACAACTGAAACGCAGCCCTTTCTTCTAGGTTGCCTACTTCGGTAACAACATGTTTGCAAGGAGAAAAGCAAACCCAATTTATTTCCTTTTTATTTACCAAACTCAGCAGGGCATGGCAGGCAAAGGCGGCTCTCCTCCAGCAGGGGATCTCAAGAATCTCCCCGGGGCCACCCAGTTGTGCCAAGGCAGCTGGAAGGCTACATTCAGGGAGGGTAATGGAGACTAACACCTGGAGCTACAGGAGATCCAGGAGACCTGCAGAATCTGGTGAAAACAGTCAAGACGGCGACCATAAAGCCGTGTCACATGGACAAAAAACAAGCATTGGTCACACATCCACCAATCCAGTGGGCAACCCACACCCGGTTTTGCTCTAGATCTGTGATGGTGAACCTACAGCACATGTGCCAGAGGGGGCACGCAGCACCCTCCTCTCTGTGGGCACACGCACCATGGCCAGGTGCTCTTCTGGTTTCCGGTGCGCACACGCACAGCTGGTCTTTATGGGCGCCAGAAAATGGCTGGAAAAAGCAACAAAGAACAGGCCATTTTTCAGGCCGTTTTCTGGGTGTTTTTCAGGCCATTTTCAGGCCATTTGTGGCTTGGAAACTGCCCCCAAACCACCCAAAAACAGGCACGCATTGGCCAGCTGGTCTACGGGTTTCCAGTGCATGCAAAGACCAGCTGGCTGGCGCACATGCATGTGCCAGAAACCCAAAGGCCTGATGGCCGGTGCACACATGTGCACCGGCCAGATGGTCTTTGGGTTTCCGGCACTGCGGCACACGAACTTGCACGCACATGCATGCACGTTCCAGTTTGGGCACTTGGTGCCCAAAAGGTTCGCCATCACTGCTGTAGGTGGGACAGTGGGAGACGGGAGAGCAAAGGAGGTTTTCAATACATTCTGGGAAAGCAGAAAACAAGCAAGAAGAAGCAAGAAAGCGGAGGGCTGGAAAATCATTGGATCTCAGCAACATCCACTTTGAAGGATGCTTCCAACGCATGAAACTCAGGGCAACAAGGTATTCCCCGCATCCAGAACCTCTCTGCGCCCAAAGCGAGCCCAGTCCTGAGTGGCTCCAAAGGACTCCAACAGACAAATTAGTCTTAGCCCTCTGGAGATGCTACAAAGGAGGGTTCCGTTTCTCCCCCCGGAGCCTCCAGCAGCGTGAAAGGTTTGGGAAGGTCCGTTAGTCACACCTCAGTACCTGTATTCTCCATCTTCCTCTTCTCTTCCGCTTTCCGCTCTGGGACGCTGCAGCTACCGGTCCACGGTTACTGTGGCCGCCAAGGTGGCGCTCAGTCTTCGTCCGTCAGCTGATTTTGTGCACCTTTGTGTAGCTGCTGGCAAAAGAGAAATCCTCAGCTGAAGGTGGAACCTCTTCTGACTCACCCTTTTGTCACAGCCAAGAGAAACACTTTGGAAATGAAGCGCTTTTTCCCCTTGGAGCCTTAAGCCAGTCGGGAAGAAGTTCCTGATTCCGGAGAGCAATTCAAGCGCTTCAATTCACAGACTTTGCAATGGCTCCCAAGTCTCTTCCCAGCCAGCTGCTCAACACGCAGGCCTTGGAGTTCTGGGCAGAGGGCTTCCCTTGGCTGCAGGCACCCTGGAGGAGTCTGCCAGGCCCAGGTTCAAGAACAGAATGCTTGAAATACGCCCACCCACACCAGGCTTTTCTGAAAACCCCTGCAGCAGCCCCCCTTGGCATCCCAGCCAGGAGGAAGGAGAGATCTGAGAGAAGGGCACATCCAGCCTGTCACCGCTGGCCATTCCCTCTGCCAATGCCAAGGAGTAGCACCAAAATATAGCAATAGCAATAGCAGTAGACTTATATACCGCTTCATAGGCCTTTCAGGCCTCTCTAAGCGGTTTACAGAGAGTCAGCATATTGCCCCCACAGTCTGGGGCCTCATTTTACCCCCCCCCGGAGGATGGAAGGCTGGGGCA